TTGTTTTTTTTTTTTTTTTTTTTTTTTTTTTTTTTAAAAGATGGGGTTTCACCATGATGGCCAGGCTGGTCTTGAACTCCTGATGTCAGGTGATCCACCCACCTTGGCCTCCCAAAGTGCTAGGATTACAGGCGTGAGCCACCACGCCCAGCCAGTTTTTCCATTTTTAATAGAGACAGGGTTTTGCCATGTTGGCCAGGGTGATCTGGAACTCCTGGCCCCAAGTGATCTGCCCATCTCAGCCTCCCAAAGTGCTGGGATTACAGGTGTGAGCCACTGCACCTGGCTGGAGTGATTGTTCTTTCTACATTGAGATGATGATGATGATGATGATGATGATGGTGTTAATTTGAGACAGTCTCATTCTGTTGCTGAGGCCTGAGTGCAGTGGCATAAGCAGGGCTCAATGCAGCCTCAACCTCCTAGGCTCAAACAATCCTCCCACCTCAGCTTTCCACAAAGCTGGGACTACAGGGGCATGCTACCACATCCTGCTAATTTTAACATTTTTGTAGAGCCAAGGTCTCACTGTGTTCCCCAGGCTGTTCTCAAACTTCTGGGCTCAAGAGATCCTCTCACCTTGGCCTCCCAAAGTGCTAGGATGGCAGGGATGAGCCACTATGCCCAGTGAGATCAATTTTATAATCAGGCAAAAGGTGTATCTTTTTTTTTTTCTTTGAGACAGAGTCTCGCTCTGGGGTACAGTGGTGCTCTCGGCTCACTGCACCTCCCGTGTTCAAGCGATTCTCCTGCCTCAGCCTCCCCAGTAGCTGGGATTATAGTCACACCCCACCACACCCAGCTAATTTTTGTATTTTTAGTAGAGATGGGGTTTCACCACCTTGGTCAGGATGTTCTTGATCTCTTGACCTCGTGATCCGCCCACCTCAGCCTCCCAACATGCTGGGGTTACAGGCGTGCGCCATCATGCCTGCCCTTTTTAAAAAAAAAAAAAGAAAAAGACTAAGTATGGGCAGCCTAGTGAGACCTGGCCCCTGCCACAGTCCATCACCCCTGGCCGCCCTCCATCCTCTTCCTCGCTGCCCCTTCTCTACAAAAAAAGTTTTTAGTCTGGGCATGGTGGCCCACGCCTATAATACCACCACTTTAGGAGGCTGAGGCGGGTGGATCACCTGAGGTCAGGAGTTCAAGACCAACCTGGCCAACATGGTGAAACCCAGTCTCTACTAAAAATACAAAAATTAGCTGGGCATGGTGGTGGGCACCTGTAATCCCAGCTACTTGGGAAGCTGAAGCAAGAGAACTGATTGAACCCAGGAGGCGGAGGTTGCAGTGAGCCAAGGTGGTGCCATTGCAGTCCAGCCTGGGTGACAGAGCAAGACTCCATCTCAAAAAAAAAAAAAAAATTTTTTTTAGGCCTTCATGGGAAAAAGATAAATAAATAAAATTGTTTTTTTAATTAGCTGGGTGTCATGGTATGTGTCTGCAGCTCCAGCTACTCAGAGGCTGAGGTGGGATGATTGCTTAAGCCTGGGAAGTGGAGGCTGCAGTGAGCTATGATTACACCACTGCACTCTAGCCTGGGCAACAGAGGAGACCCTGTCTTTAAAAAAAAAAAAAAAAAAGAAAGAAAAGAGAAAAAGGCTAGTTGAGTTGGAGACTCCCGAATGAATTAATAAATCTGTCGCAGAAATGAAAATTAAAATAAGATGAAATCACATTTTATCTCAAGAGCTTGGTGATACCCAATGTTGCAGAGGTAGAGAAGAGCACTCTTGCACCCTGTCTACTGGTGAGGGATGAATTGTGCAACCTTTTTGGAGGGCAACCAGCAGAACCTGCCAAAATTATAAATGCATTTGTCTTTTGACCTAGCCATTCCACAGTTAGGACTGTTCTTAGAAGAAAAGATATACATACATCCTCACTTGTAAAAATTTTTTTAAAAGGCCAGGCACAGTGGCTCATGCCTGTAACCCCAGCACTTTGGGAGGCAGAGGCAGGTAGATCACTTGCAGCCAGGAATTTGAAACCATCATGGTAAAAACCATGGCCAACATGGTAAAACCCCATCTCTATCAAAAATACAAAAATTA